TACCAGTGATAAAAGTATTTGGACCGTGGCATGGTTTCTGTTTTGGCCTGCACAACCATCAGAAAATAAGTGCAGCTCTTTGGCTTTGTTGCCAATATTTTTAAAAATATAATTCAGCACAAAGGTACATACTTCGCTCACTTACTTTTGTTAATGTATCTCCAGGTAATGCATTGCATCGTGATCACAGAGATTTACCTCTGTAATCTATAGGCTGCTCTTTTTTTTTTTTAATATAATGCATAAATGTCTAACTTGTTTCATAGAAATTCCATGCATACAGCAAAAAGATTTCTTGCGTACTTTTCTTATTACACCTTCAATCTTAATGTGATAAATAAAAGAAAATTCTTTTTTCTTAGGTTCTTTCCCAGTAAGCACAAGACGCATTTTAGACACTTATAGACGACTAAAGCTAGTCTAGGTAAAGACGCACTTTTGTCGACGTTTTAAAGACATCTTTTAGACGTCTTTTATGAATGCGTTTTTAAAATGACGTTCAAAAGGCGTCTTTTTAAAAGATAAAAAGACGTCTAGAACGTCAATTTTTAAGACATCTTCTAGACGTCTTTTATAAAGGCGTTTTTAAAATGACGTCTTTTTAAAGTTTAAAAAGACGTTTAAAAGACGCATAATAAATAGTCTAAAAGACGCATTAAAAGACGTCTAGATCAAAGCTAAAAGACGTCTTTTCTGAGACCTGTTTATAAATATGTCATTATGACTTCTTTTTGACGGCTTTGTCATTACGCGTTAAGTAGATGTCGTATATTCAAAGTAAAAACATAGTTTTTATTATTTTCAATAATTTGTTCAAATTTTAAATGTAAATTGCTTTAAATTAAATTACTTTTTTACACAATTGCTAAAATTGATGTCACAGGAATCACTAAAATAATTGCTATAATAATAATATATCTTTTTTTTATTAATAATTAATTTGCTTTTTTAATAGATAGTTGACTGATCATGATAATAAGTGAAAATGGTAAGAATAATATATAAAATAAATATCAGTATTTTTAGTTTTTATATACCCACAAGCCATATAATAAGTCAAGTATGCCGTCAAAAATTAGCTAGCGATGCGTATGTTAATTTTATAATAACGAAAGGTAAGTTATAAATGTTGATTATAAAATTTTAACAAAAGTTTTGGCCAACAGGCTCAAAGATGTTCTACCAAATATAATACATAGCAACCAAACTGCTTGCATTAAAAACAGAACAATATATTATAATCTAAGTTACACGAGAGACATTATAAGCATCGCTAAAAAAAGCAAGTTAGACGCTTGCATTCTTTCCATAGATCAGGTGAAAGCTTTTGATAGGGTTGATAGAGCTTTTTTGTTTGATAGTTTGAAACATTTCGGATTTGGAAAAATATTTATATCTTTTATAAAAACAATCTATAACAATATAAATGCTAAAATAAAAATTAACGGTTTGTTATCAGAAAAAATAGATATTTTAAGAGGAGTAAGGCAAGGCTGTCCTTTGTCAATGATTTTGTACATCATATAGGCAGAAATATTTTCATGTTATGTTAGACAAAACAAAAATATTAAAGTATACATGTAAAAGAAAGCGAAACAAAATTACAGCAATACGCTGATGACACAAACTTCTTTCTAATCGGAGATGATTCCATTAGAGAAGTGGGAAAAGCCTTAAAACTCAATCAAAAAGCCACAGGCGCTAAAATAAACATTGCCAAGTGTCAAGGCATATGGTTAGGCAAAAATATTTTTAAAGACAAAATCGAGTATTTGAATTTCAATTGGGATGAAAACACTTTTAAAAGTTCAGGTATTTTTTTCTCGAATAACGCAAACTTCCAGTACGAAAGACACTGGAAGAAGCGTTTCAATAAAATGGAAAATTCAATGCGAAAATGGGAAAAATACAAATTGTCCATAAAAGGCAGAAAAACAATCATAAACTCTTTAATTATCCCTCAAGCACTGCATTTAGCTTTTATAGCACCCTTACCCAGCAACGGAATTCTAAATAAAATAGAAGCAAAAATTAATAACTTTTATTGGAGGGGAAAAATATGTAGACTAAACAAAACTAAAACTCAACAAAAGATAAATGAGGGCGGCGCAGGAGTTAACAGCTTAACCAACAAACTTAAGGCCATACAGTTGCAGTGGATTAGCAAATTATACAACGAAAATATATGCGGTCCGTGGAAAGATGCTATGGTTTACATATTAAATCTATATAAAAATGCAAACCAAAGCAAACAAACTATTGAAACTATCCCTACTCAAATAAAACTCTTACCCCCTTTTTACTCTCAGCTCTTAGTTAATTGGGATAGTTTAAAACAAAAACATTTTTTACCTATAACAAAAATTGAAGAAATTTTGAATCAACCTCTATTTTTTAACTCAATGATAAAAACGATGCCAAATAAGTTTTTAACTCCGAGCAAAACTCACATTAAAAACGATATAATACTTGTAGCAGATATTACTAAAACGTTTCAGCCAGGCTTTTTGCATCATAAAAGCATTGGTTTGACCGAAAAGGAATTAGAAATTCTTACAAAAGTTCTGCCAAGAAATTGGTACAATAAAATTCTAAAGGAATGTCAAAGTTATGATTTTAAAAAGTCTTCATTTTATTTAGCCAAAAGGAAAACAAAATACGAATATAAAAATTTAACTGTCTTAACTCTTTACAAATTATTAAACAAACCAACAAAACGTTTAGACTATAAATTTTATAAATGAAAAGATGTTTTTGAAAGCATGAAAAATATAAATGAAAAAGATTGGAAACATTTCTTTATAAAACTTCAAAAAAGTAATACTAATAACAAAGCGTGCGAAATTCTATTTAAAACAGCACACTTTTTGTTGCCAACTAACGATAAAATGTTTGATTTTAAAATAAGAAAAGACAAACTTTGCCCACAGTGCAAAATTAAAAATGAAAACACTGCCCACATGATGTATGAGTGTGAAAAAGTACAGCCATTAATATTTTATGTTCTAGATATTTTAGACCAGCTCTACCCTAATGAATACCCTCATAATAACAATTTTAAATTTATTTTATTTGGATATGAAAAAAACGCAGCCCAGAGGCTTTTTGGCAATTTATTATTAGAAAGTTTTATTTGTGAAATATATTTTAACAGAATGAAAAGTCAATTCGAAAAGAAAACTTTCACTAAGAAATATTTGCTAGAAAATTTTGATAGAAAAGTCAAAAGATTATTTTTAAATGATTTACTTATGCTAAGACAACAAAATAAACAAAAAAAACACATAAACGAAATAAGAAACATTTTTAAAAATGGAAGATTAAATTTGATAGCAGATGTTCGTGACTATTTCGTATAATTTTCATTTTTTATTTATTTTTTTCTTCTTTCGATCGTTATCTTCTTTAGTTTTTTTATTTTATACGGGTCCAATGGACATCTTTGTAAACGTTTGTTTTTTTTGTTTGTTTTTTTTCGTTTATTTCGATTTATTTTTAAACCTTGTATTTATTATGAGGACGTCAGTATGGCAATTAGCCGGATGACGGAATAAATTACAATACCAGTAAGTTATAAATGATTAAATACTGTTTTGATATATAATTGTTATTGTTATTTATTATTTTCATCTTTGCAGCATCAACCGTTGGTGGTGATAGCTATATATTATTTAGATTGCTGGTTCCTATGTATATTTTGTATATACGAAATTATAACAAGTGCGCTTTGTTTCACTTGAAAAAGGCATAAGTCTGGGACTTGTGCCATTTTCAAACAGACTTTAATTTTCATTTGCATTTAAAGTTGACTTGTGGCATATGAAAATGTTTCTCCTTCGAAGGGAATATGTAAAACACTTGAATAAATAAAACTGCATTAAAAAGTGAAGTTTGAAAAAAGTGACTTGTGCCCTTTTCGAAATGACGGGTTCAACTGTATTTCATAATTTCTATAAATTATTTTTGGAGCTGTTTAATGTTTAAAAAATTTGTGTTTAAAAATTTATTTTACATTTAGATTTTTAGTTTTAATTTTTATTTCAGAGGTATAATTATAAATAAAATGCCAAATTTTTTTAACATTTTTGTAATATTTTGCGCAAATATTATAATAATATGTTATTAATATAAGAGCAAAATCTCAAGATATAAATAAAAATTGTAGCATGAAGTTCATGACCCAATGATCCATACGTTTTGTTTTCTTGTCAAATTTATTGCAAAATGTCTGTATCGATAGAAACCATTCACAAAAACGTTTGATACTTATTAGTCTATTTAATATTTATTGTTATTATTACATGGTTTCCACTTACTATAATTGTAAGTGTAAAAACGCGCGCAAACTGGCAATCAGGAAATTTTTGTACTGTTTGAGTTTAAATTGTTTGAGCAACCTCATATTATACGAAAACGGTGTTTTTAAACGAAAAGAAAAAAAAGGAACGGATTTTTACCTAAAATTATTATCTTAATGAAAAAATAAATATCTATATTTCTACATCAAGGTTTTGAAATACAGATTTTTTGTATGCGTAATTATAATAATTTAAAATTAAAAAAACTTTAGTAAAGTTTTAATTAGCTGAAAGCCTTAATTTTTGCATGTAAATTTACGCTATTTATACTGCTTTCTTTTATAACCTCATATAGCCAGTTCAAAAAATACAATGCAGCCTGAACTTCGCTGCTCACAACTTATCTTTTGGTATGTTCATATTACCTCGGAGCAAAAAATTACCCGAATCTACCTTAGAGAAAATTTTTACCACATTCTTTTACATAAAGTCAATAACAAACTTTTTACCTTAATATAGTAAATCATTTACACATGATTTAAAAAAATGTGATTTACATAAGTTTTTCACCTTTAATGGTAAAAATATTTATCATTGTTTAATTAAAAATCAAACATACATTGTACTTTCGACAAAGAAAAACATCTAAATAAACAAGCTTTTTCTATCAGACATTAAATACTTTCATTAATTCTATTGTTTAAAAATAAAAACGTTTATTTCAAATAATCTAATATGTTAGAAAATGTATGCATAAAATACAGCTATAATTTTTTTGAATAAATATATCTAATTGTATGTGAAGATATTTGTATAAAAAGTAACTTTATTATTTTTTTTGAGGTAAAATTATATAATATTTATTGTTTTTATTGTTGCTAGTTTTTTTATGCTATCTTTATAACATTTATTTATACTCTATATAATTTTTTCAGCACAACTGCTTTTCAATACTAAATAGAATCAAATCATTGTTTTATGGGTAATTTTTAATTTTTAATATTAACGCCCGTTTTTTTTTTCTATGTTTCGATGATGCTTTCATTAACAGTAGTAGAAGTAGTAGTAGTAGTAGTAGAAGTATTAGTAGTAGTAGTAGTAGTAGTAGTAGTAGTAGTAGTAGTAGTAGTAGTAGTAGTAGTAGTAGTAGTAGTAGTAGTAGTAGTAGTAGTAGTAGTAGTAGTAGTAGTAGTAGTAGTAGTAGTAGTAGTAGTAGTAGTAGTAGTAGTAGTAGTAGTAGTAGTAGTAGTAGTAGTAGTAGTAGTAGTAGTAGTAGTAGTAGTAGTAGTAGTAGTAGTAGTAGTAGTAGTAGTAGTAGTAGTAGTAGTAGTAGTAGTAGTAGTAGTAGTAGTAGTAGTAGTAGTAGTAGTAGTAGTAGTAGTAGTAGTAGTAGTAGTAGTAGTAGTAGTAGTAGTAGTAGTAGTAGTAGTAGTAGTAGTAGTAGTAGTAGTAGTAGTAGTAGTAGTAGTAGTAGTAGTAGTAGTAGTAGTAGTAGTAGTAGTAGTAGTAGTAGTAGTAGTAGTAGTAGTAGTAGTAGTAGTAGTAGTAGTAGTAGTAGTAGTAGTAGTAGTAGTAGTAGTAGTAGTAGTAGTAGTAGTAGTAGTAGTAGTAGTAGTAGTAGTAGTAGTAGTAGTAGTAGTAGTAGTAGTAGTAGTAGTAGTAGTAGTAGTAGTAGTAGTAGTAGTAGTAGTAGTAGTAGTAGTAGTAGTAGTAGTAGTAGTAGTAGTAGTAGTAGTAGTAGTAGTAGTAGTAGTAGTAGTAGTAGTAGTAGTAGTAGTAGTAGTAGTAGTAGTAGTAGTAGTAGTAGTAGTAGTAGTAGTAGTAGTAGTAGTAGTAGTAGTAGTAGTAGTAGTAGTAGTAGTAGTAGTAGTAGTAGTAGTAGTAGTAGTAGTAGTAGTAGTAGTAGTAGTAGTAGTAGTAGTAGTAGTAGTAGTAGTAGTAGTAGTAGTAGTAGTAGTAGTAGTAGTAGTAGTAGTAGTAGTAGTAGTAGTAGTAGTAGTAGTAGTAGTAGTAGTAGTAGTAGTAGTAGTAGTAGTAGTAGTAGTAGTAGTAGTAGTAGTAGTAGTAGTAGTAGTAGTAGTAGTAGTAGTAGTAGTAGTAGTAGTAGTAGTAGTAGTAGTAGTAGTAGTAGTAGTAGTAGTAGTAGTAGTAGTAGTAGTAGTAGTAGTAGTAGTAGTAGTAGTAGTATAAAAAACTAGTATTGGTGTTTATATAAATACGTTTACTTCCTAACATATTTAGATATAAAAAAAAGTACAATGTCACTTTTAATTGCTTTTTTTTTTCAAGATCTTTAAAGAACTGAACTTTACAGTCGGTTCAAACAAGACGCAATATTTCTTTCATATACTTCTTCGTAAGTCATAAAATATCTTTTTGTAAGTCGTTTTTCAACTTAGCAAAATGTCCAAACAGGTTAGTTATAAAGACAACAAAACAGGTTAGTTAAAAGTTTACATTCATACATGCATGTACATATTTATATATACATAAATTTAAAGATACAAACTTTTATATACACGTAAACCAAAACACATATTCATATATATACACGTACACATGTACGTATATATATATATATATATATATATATGAATGCATACATAAACACATATACAAAAATATATACATATATACATATATAATATATACATACCTACTCACGTAATTTATGTATTTTTTATTTAACTTTATTTACTTATTACATACATATATATTTTTTATATATTTTTTTTGATTTATTATTAATATTAAAATTTTTTCTTTCTTTAATTATTTTTTGTTTACAACTTTAATTTAAATAATCGTATTATTAGCAAGAATTGTTTAGCATGATATACGTTTTAAAAGTAATGTATATAAAGTTTTTAGAATTCGTAATGAAAGAAAAAATATTAAAAATTGTTTTTTTTTTTTTTTTTCATGAAATGCAAACATTTGCATTGTTGATAGAACACACGCTATAAAAGAATGTTTATTTTCATAGGCTCAAAAACTCATTTTAAAAACGAAGTTCAAATTAAATTGTATTTTTACTTTATTTTCCCTTGAATTCTCTTGAGTTACAATAATTACTTGGTGTTTTTTAAATTGTTAAGTTCACAAAGTACATTTCATTAAGTTTTGTTTACGAAACTTTATAAAATATTTTAATATTATTAGAGTAACATGAAAATTCAAAAACATTTTCAAAACTAGTTTAATTTTATTAATATAAAAACTTTTTTAAATTTAATAATAACGCGCTGCATTTAAAAAAAGAAAGAAGTTTAATAAGAAATTTTTACTTAATAAATGATATTAAATTTGTTTTAGTTAAAATAATTATTTTTTATAATCTAACTGTACGTCTATTTTTAGGTATTTAATCTTTTTCAGAAAATTTATTTTCACGCAAGAAACTACTTGGTGAAATTCAACTTTATTTTTTTACAAGATGCAAACAACTCATATTAGTATTATATGGAATGTCGTGTGTCGGAAAGACACATATTGCAAGAAAATATTGAGAAATATCCTATAATTTCTATAAAAACTTTGTTTGGATTGACGCAGCATTTGGAATGTTACAAACTTCAATGAGAAACCAATGTTAAATATAAGGATATGAGGTTTAAGATTCGAAAGGAGAATATTTTTATATAAAAGTGATTGTTGAAAAAACTCACAACTATTATAAAAATGAAAAGACTTTGTATATTTTTGACAATGTCGACGATGAAAGTGTTAAAATTTGTCAATGTACATTTCAAAAAAACCGAATTCGTTCACGTTGATTACCTCCCAATGAAGAACGTGGTCGAATAATATAGCTAAAATGTTAGTTGATGTTTTTTCTTCTAAAAAAGCATTCACTTATGTAAAAAATAATATTAAAGAAAACAGCGACGAAAACATAAGAAACTTAATTAAAGAACTTGGTTATCATCCGTTTGCAATTACTCATGCAATAAAATATATATATATATACATAAAACTTCGATAGAAAAATACGTAAATCGATATAGATCGAAGCCAACAGAAATATTAGACAATAATAATTTCCAACCGAAGAAGAATCAAAGTCAGCAATACAAGCAATTAACTTAGTTTTAATAAAATTAGTTAAAATTTTATTAAAACTAAGTTAATTGCTTTATTTTAATTAAAATTTAATAAAACTAAACCTTCTCTATTTAAAATATTACACTGTTTATCTCATTGCGACATTCAAAACATCAGTAAACTGTTTATAACACAAATCTCAAATCAAATGGAAATAAACAACGAATCTTTAATAGAAGAAGCTATTGGATCACTAATGAGTTATTCTTTACTAAACTGTTTTGATGATAAAAAATATACAATACACGAACTGACACAGTTAACATGTAAATGTTTTCAAAAGAGAAATTCAAGTACAAATACATATCTTGTATTTTTCAAAAATTATTTTAAAGTTGAATTAAATGAAGTAAAAGATCACGTTGATTACGGAAATCATTTTCTTTATCAATTTGTCTATATGTTTCGTAGTTACGGAAATAGATTTTCGGAAACCTTTCATCATATGACGACTTCTATTCAAAAGTTATTAGTCTGTAAAGGTTTATTTGAAGAAGCAATTGAAATATTAAAAACTGTTCAAAATTTTAATACAGAAACTTATGGTGAAATTAACATAATCACGCTTGATACAAAACATAATATCGCACGCTCTTTGCTCGATATGGGAAAATATATCGATGCTTTAGAAATTTATTATTCTGTTGATAAAATACAAACTGAATTTTTAGGTATCAACCATCCGCATACAATTTGAACAAAACGTAATATCAACAGGTGCTTCAATAATTTCAAAAAGAAACAAACGAGTTGTTTAATTATTTGATTATTATATTAGTAATAATGTATATATAATTTACCTGTTAATAAAATATAAATGACGAACTTTTTTCTCTAAAAGTTAGAGATATCTGTTATTACGTCTTATAAATAAAATCCCTTTTTTTTTATAAATTTTTAAATAAACAAAAAAAAAATGTTATGTTAGGGTTTTTAATGTTTTAATAAACAAAAAAAATTGCTTTATTGTTTATAACTATAAAATTTTTATATTTTAAATTATTTCTGTATTATTAAATATATAAATTGAAAAAGATGAAACTTATAATATAAAGTCTAAAGTTATTTGAATGCAAAGATTTTGTTATTTCGATATATATATATATATATATATATATATATATATATATATATATATATATATATATATATATATATATATATATATATATATATATATATATATATATATATATACGTATATATATATATATGTATATATATATATATATATATATATATATATATATATATATATATATATATATATATATATACATATATATATATATAATCAAAATATATTATCTTAATTTAGATTAAAAAATTAATATTTAGTGATCTATATTGATTGATTACACAGATAAAAAGTCGCGAAAAAGCGTAAAGAGTTTTTTTAATCAGCGGTTTTTGTGTTAATAATAATATTATTTAATGACATTTTTTTCATATTTTATTAATTCTAAATAAATTTTGTAATAAAGAAATTACGTATGAACAAGAATTTTGTTAATTTTTAAAAGAACGCAGATGTTTAAATAATATCGTACTCGGTTGGCACGGATCCATTGGCGGAATAAGACTTCTTGGGGCCCGGGACTATTTTTATTTTTGGAAGTTTTTTATTGGCCAGAGCCTAAAATGGACTTAAAAAAAAAAAGTCCTTTTAAATTTTTGGAAGCGCCTACATTTGCGTGGCCCGAGGCTAAAGCCTCCCCTAGCCCTCTTGATCCAGCACTGCGCGGATCATGATAATGCCAACCAAGTTGACCTAAAAACGCCACTTATATGGGGTGATGGCGTTTACATCAAGGTATCCTATGATTCAAATTTTGAAATCTTTTAAATTTTTGTTTAAGTTAAGTGAAAATACAAGCGAAATACAAGCGTAAATACCTATTATAATATTCAATCACATTTTTTAAAATAAATTTTACATAAGTGTTTTATTATGTAATTTATACAACTTTGTTATGACTCTTTTACACTATTTTGATTCAGTCAGTGAATGGAATCGAAGTCTTGTGTGTGTTGTGAATGAGTTTGAAAAATAAAAACATAAAAATAGTTTATCTCCATTTCCTTATTTAAAACGAAATAAATTTGAATAAATTTAAAAAAAAAATTATTTTAGTTTTTTTATTATTACAAACTGCTTTTAGTTTTATTATTTTCATATTTCTTCTTATTATTCCCCATTTTTTTCTTTTTCTCTGTCTGTTAACATCAAATCTCGCAATCAATTTTTGAGTCACTTCCAGATGATAGATTTTCTTCAAACTTTGCATAAATAGTCTTGCTTGATTACAATACAATATTTGATAATTAGTTATGCAATAAGTCAATTAATTTAATTAATTTTAATTAAGTTTACTTTTTAAATGCAAAGCAAATGAAATAATTTTTAATTTTTATGTCATTTTGTTTTTATATTTTATACGGAAAATTTATTTTCTTTTAAAAAAGAAAATTTGTGAGTTTCCTGAAAAAAAATTCAGTACCTGAAATTTTTTAAGAATATTTTTAAGAATTTCTTCAAGTTTCTATGAAAATAGTAAAAAAAAAAAGTAAAATAAAAAAACTAAGAGGTAAAACTAAGAAAACTAAATAATAAAATAATTTTTTTGTGCAAGAATTTGATTATAATTATTGTGTTTTAAATAAAGAAATGAAGATTAAATTAATTATTTAAAAAAATTATTTTTAAGTTTTAATTTCTCAAACTCAATTACAATACACATAAGACTTTGATTCCATTAGCTGATCCATTGAAGACAAAAATATTGATTTGTTATCCGAAGCGTTGTTTGAATTGGCTTATGCATAGCATAAGTATCTTAACACTTCCAAAACAATTAACTATTGCCTAGTGCAACAAAAATGAGCAAATCCTGGCAAATAAAAAATTATTTGGTAAAACATAAAAAATGTTTCCGTTAAATTTTATTGACATATGAAACCTTCTTAAAAACATTGACTTTCAAAACAAAGTGAAAAATAACAACTTCAACCCAAAATTTAACCCTAATTTTAACCCTAAAAATAATAACTTTAACCCTTAAAATAGCAATTTTAACCCTAATTTTAAATTATATTGCCATCAAATTAAATTGTAAGACGTGTTCTTTAATTTTCTTCAAAAGAAATATATCAAAGTTAGCTTAATATGCTTTTTAGTCAAATATTATTTATTATTATTAAAATTAAAACTTACTGCAAACAGTTTATAATTACTATTTGTGAATTTGACCGGTATGGACACCCAAACTAATGCACTAATGAACTAAAAGTTCTAAAAGTTATAAATTTATAAATTATAAATTTATAAAAGTTATAAATTTCAATATTAATAAAGTTCAGTATAATTAGATAAAAGCAAATAGTCGTTTTCCTTAAAAAGTAAAAGTAATTATCTTGCAAAGTATTTTGCGAGAAACCCTGTATTAGCTATTGTTAGTATTCCAGTGAACTTCTTGTGAT